AAGGACAGCAATGGTGGCAACCTTCGCTGGCGTGTGTCACGTGACAGTGCTCGCGTACCACATGTGCCGATTTTTTTCTGCAATATCTCACGTCTCTAAAAGAAAAGGTAACAAACGCCCCCCTGGGTCCCACATTACCGAAGGCTTCACATGTCGAGAAGGAAATATATTTTCACAACGGATAATGCGCATTCCTGTGCCTTGCGTTATTAGCCTGTTGGTGCTTTGCTTTCCCACTACACGTATTTCTGCAAACGTCATATAAAGCACCGGACAGTATCACTTAACCAATGAACGGCGAATATTCTGCAATTACATGCCACCTTGTCATCAATCACTGTCACATGAAAGAGGTCCTATATCCTATTTGTTTGATGCACTACACCGTCACCAGCTGTTCTATTCCATTTCGTGATGGACCATTGGAATGGCGCACGGGGGTACCCAGGTCATACTCAGCTGCCGTTAACTGGGCTTAGCCAGGCCTGCAGATGCGCTGGGCTTGGATCGGCCCTCTAGAGCACGCCGAGACTCGCGAGCGTGGCTGCTCTTACCAAATATTTCATGGCAAATAATTGTTGACCTCCGTAGCGAGTATTGCGGGTCCACCTTTGGGTCACGCGAGCTCACATCGGTCGACCAGAAGTGTGACGACAGTGTGAAGCTTCAGAACGCGCACAATCCCCCAAAAGTGCAAGAAACGACCCGAAAACAGGCCCTAGAATTCAGCTGCTGGAAATTCTATTTTAACGGTGTTCACAGCATCGAGTAAGTTTTTCATGACCAGCATCAATGAAAGTTCCTACCGCCCGATCATGCATAGCGCGTTTGTGACACATGTTGATGGAAAATTCCGCACATACCTCCCGATGCATCTCTTCAGTCGCAGGCCTTCTGGCCCGCAGCATAAGTCTGAGGAGGTTGCCGTCCGATACCGACTGCTGCACTGAGGTTACCTTTAATATCTCCGCACCCTAACCACAAGAACAGTCGAGACGGTCGAGAGTGACTTATTATCCTGATACCAATGTCAAGCGTTTGCTTGCTCGCGCGTATCTGACGTCAAGCCGGTACGTCATGCACGAAGCCGCGAGTCCGAGCAGCCCATCAGCTTCCATTTCCAGCCGCGGTATGACCGCCGCCCGCCAACATCCCGGACATTACCGCCAGCAGTCAGCCGCTTTCCCCGGCGCCGCCATCCGACGCACGCCGCCGGAGGCGCTCCGGCCGGCGGACGTCTCGAAAGGTCAGCAGGTCAGCCGCGCCGACGCCAGCGGCGGTTGCGCGCTGCCGGGGAGGGGGAGGGAGGGAGACAGCCGTCTGTTGCCGGCCGGGGGCGCCGGCGCCGCGGACGGTGGCCGCATGGAGAGCCTCTCAGACACCGGCAGACGAGCCGGGAGAGAGGACCATGCCTCTCTGGGGCTGACACTGACGCGGCGCCCGTGATTGTGATTCACCAGACCCCCTGGATGGAGGGGACGGGGCTCTGGCCGTGCCTGGCGCCGACACAAGTGTCGCCCTTGTCTCGGATTGTTTTACGGGCGCTTAATTACGACAGTCATTCGCGTCGCAATGTCTCACTCCCAGAGCAGCCGGGAGAGCCCGCGCGACTCTAGTTACATAACCCCGGCGCGCCGCTGCCGGGCAGAACGTCATTCACGGACGCCAACACGTCACCAAAGTGGCGCGCTGCCGCTGTGAGTGACGTCACCAGATCGCCTGGTAATTGTTAGATACCATTACTGTCAAGACGCTTTTGCGTATGACGTCACAGACGACACGCACTGCTGTCGTCTCTGTTGCGGGCTGTGACACCCTTCACCGAGAGGAGAGTGACATACCCGCCAGTGGACGGATGCGGGCCGATGACAGCAGGGCGCTCACCAACCAGCGAGCTGCACGCAGCCCACCAGCTGACCTGTGCCAGCCTGAGCGGCGCAGGTCAGCTGGGCCGCGGGCTATGGCACCCTTCACCGGGGGGAAAGTGGCAAATCCGCTAGCGCAAGGATGCGAGCCGATGACTGCAGGGAGATCACCAACCAGCGAGCTGCCACACCCTCCATTAGCTGACCTGTACCGGCCTGAGCGGCTGCACGTACTCTCAACCAGCAGACCTGCACCGGCCAGAGCGGCTGGTCAGCCCCGACGGTCCCATCTGCACCACCTCTGGCGCTCGTCTCCTCTGGTCCAAAGCTGAGCCGTGCAGCGACGGGCGCGCCGGCCCGGCGGCTGCGGCGTCGGTCGGTCCGCCGGCCCGCTCGGCGGCCGCGGCCGCCTGGCGATCGCACCCTCCCATGGTGTCGAGCGGAGCTCCGGCGGGCCGGAGCGGCGCCTGCTGGCGAACAGCCGCCGCCTCGTCCCGGCCGGCCAGTCACAACCGCCTCACACCCCGGCTGCATGACCGTCCGCGCGCCACTGCTGACAGCACCCGGACCCTGCAGCCACAGCGGCGTGCGACGGCTGTCCAGACAGCACCCGGACCTTCCGGCGGGCTGCGTCT